TAGCCGAAATAAAACTAACAGGACTTTCTCCACAAGAAAAAATATTATTAGACATACTGTAAAATAATCCTTGCTCTGTTAAACATATATCAGGTAATATTAAAAAAAGAAAAAAAATTATAATTCTGACTTAAACTGTACTTATACCAGGAGATCATTTAGAGTTCCTATAAGCAGGCCAAACAGAATTAGAAATGATTTTATTATGGTGGCCATTAGGTCATTAAATGAGTCCAGCGGGGAGGGAGATGCATCTAAATAAATGATGTATTGTATGTCGTGTGGTAATATTTTGTTTATGTGTACGTGGAACTTCGCCTGTCTTATAGCACCTTGCTGCAATTTTGGTTTCCCCAAACAGGATAATGAAGTTGATTCTGAGGAAACTCAAATGGTTTCAGAGAACGAAAATCAAGCTGTAGAATGGCCCAGCCAATCACCTGACCTGAATCCAATATAAAATCCAAATAAAAAATCAGATTTGATAGACGAAACCACACAACCATCAGGATTTCTGTGAAAAGCTCACACCAGAGCAATTCATGTGACTTCATTCTCCATATGAGGCATCTTTAAGCTGCCATCACCTGAAAAACCTTAGTAGTTCAGTACTTTCTCCTTCTGTAATTTCATTATTATTACACTTTTTTTGTTGTTTTATTTTAATGTTTGTATTGTTTAGGTTTTTACCTAAATCTGGTTCAATTCCATGTCAACAGCTCCTTTAGAAATATTATTCCCAGGTAAAAACATGTTCAATACTTATTTTCATCGCTGTAAATAAGTTTTTAAAAAGTTTACTTTGAGAAAAATAATTGATTATTTAAAAGATGTGCAGCTTATTTCCTTCTAATTAATAAACCATCTATGCCAGCTTTTTATATTATTGCCAATTTGCTGATAGCTTTAAACTTAATCCAATATCGGACTATAAAAAAAGGCAATCGATACAGTATCAGTGTTGGGGAGGTTACTTTTGAAATGTAATAGAATACAGACTACAAATTACCCTACTTAAAATGTAATAGGTTACACTTCTTTTGGATTACTTTATTAAAGTAAAGCAACTAATTACATTTGATTACTTTTAAGTTTCTAATGGGCATTTTTAACTAAATCATTTTCAAGCGTTTATACTGAGGACATGTTCCCCTCGGGATTTACGCCTGTGGGTGCGCCGAAAATCAAAAGCATTAGAGTAGCACCGCTTCAATAAATGGCCTTAGCAGAAGTCATATCAAAAACAGGCAAAGCAACAGATTAATATTATCCAACATATCCCAGATTTTAAGAAAAATTTGAGATGTTACCACATTTGTAATCTTTAACCTTTTCACAAGTAACTGTAATTAAATTACACAATTTTCCTCAGTAACTGTAACAAATTACTGTTACTTTTATTTTGTAATTAAATTACGCAACGCCGTTACATGTAACTACTTACTCCCCAACACTGACAGTAATATATGAAAAAAGACGAGAGATGTATTATTTTGTATTCTGTTGATGCTCAAAACCATATAAATACTCAGTTTCTCTGGATTTTTGATATATAGTTTTATTTTTAAGTGAAATGTAATGACAAAAAAGTAGTTGAAATGAAATAAGTGCAATTATTCCAAAAAAAAAGACCAAATTATAACATATTTATTCGAGATTCTGAAGAAATGTTATCAGATCTTCCAAGAATAAAACAAATATTAACATTTTTCAGACTTGCCCCTAATACATGTAGTAAATACAGAGAATTTACTGAGTCAACATTTTGTTTACGTCATTTTAAATGCATTGAAGCACTGGCTTTCAGACAATTCTTTTTAATTGACACTTGCTTGTTACACTCTTAATCACTTTCAACATCTCCACTTAACCCTGACCCTTACACATTAAATGCCTGATGTTTTTCCAAATAAGCGAGAAGTGAATGACATGACGAAGGCCACTGCGGCAGAGAACAGAGCAAATAGGCATGTTGGGACGAGAGCGAGAGCAGAAGCTGAAATCGCCTCGGTTTCTGTGTGAATATGGTGTGTTAGGACAGGTGCTCGAGCTTTACTTTCCCTCCACAACACTCTTCCTCTTTCCTGACAAATCAGCCACAAAACACACACAAATGCAAAGCTGGAGGCCGAACGAACAGACAGACGTGCTGAGTGACCATATATCACTTCTTTCTGCCAATGCATTCACACGCATGCAGAGATGCAAATGTGGGATGGCTGCAAATTCTTGACAGGGCAAACCCGTCAAACTAGCCGTTAAAAAGAAGTGTGAGATGTGTGTGTGTGTGTGTGTGTGTGTGTGTGTGTGTGTGTGTGTGTGTGTTTTGGAGATTTGATGATACTCAGGGCATGATATGATGAAAACATGCATCAGTTTTTTTTTTTTCCAGTATGATTCACCCACCGTGTAACCGTCAACAAGTAAAAGTGACAAGAAGGTGGCCAGAAAAACCTCAAGCTACATTACAATTCAGTTCTTCAGGTCAGACACTGAAGGCTGTTGATTTTAAGATTTTGGGGCTTATTGGCTTTTCATTAAGTGTTTTTTTCAGTGTAATGCAAAAAAAAAAAAAAAAAATTATATCCATCACTCTACCTGTCAAAATCTTGTTGCCTGAACAACAAATACTAATTTGACTTCAAGTTGATCATTTGGTATCAGATCTAGATTACACTTATTTTACCAAAATAAAATATGATCATGCCTTTATTTTTAATTAATCAGGACAGTAAGATCTGACATTGCTTAAACAAAAGTCTTGTCACTTAACAGAAATAATATCCAGTATAGAATATTAAGCCATGGTGCAGTGGAAACCAAATTCATATTGTGTATGACTCCCATGAGCTTCTTCAATGCCTCTTCCATCTTACCCCAGACATGCTCAATAATGTTAATTTCTGGTGACTGGGCTGGCCAATTCTGGAGCACTTTGACCTTCTTTACTTTCAGGAACCTTGATGTGGAGGCTTAAGTATGAGAAGGAGCGCTATCCTGCTGAAGAATTTGTCCTCTCCTGTGGTTTGTTTAAGTACAAATGTCTTGATCCCTCAGGCTGTTGATGCTGCTATCCACTCTGCAGATCTCTCGTACGCCCCCATACTGAATGTACCCCAAACCATGATTTTTCCTTCACCAAACTTGACTGATTTCTGTGAGAATCCTGTGTCCATGCTAGTTCCAATAGGTCTTCTGCAGTATTTGTGATGATTAGGATGCAGTTCAACAGATGATTCAAGGGAACAATCTACCTTCTGCCACTTTTTCAAATAATCAATTAGAAGTCAAGTTATTATTTGATATGACTTGCTCTTACAACTGGGATTGAAGACAAGACTATTGTCAGGTAGTGTATACAATTAAGCATTTGTAACACTTTATCAATGTCTGTCTGTATATTTCAGTGACAATACATATTTTTAAAGGCTGTATTTTTTTTTCTCAAAATGAGGTATCTCTACTTTAGTAGCATAGTAGTTTTGTTCATTTCTATTCTAAAGGCTGCTTATACATGTCTAATTGTATTTAAAAAACAACAACAACTTTTTTTCTGTCTGTTAATGGTATTTTCTGAATTACAGAGTAATAAAGAGAGATTCCCAAAATCCCAAATGTCATTAGCCCCTTTCACACAGTGATACCAGTAAATATCTGGAAAATTTCCGGAACGACTTTACCGGTATATTCAAAAAAGCGCTGTTCACACAGGCGAGGACGTTACGGAAATTTTCCGGAAAAGAGCATTCACACATCCATTCCAAAATACCGGTAAATTCTGACATCATTCACCACAAATGAGCTTTAAACGGCTGCGCTTGTGTTTGTAAACATTTGACTAAATTACAAACTCTGTGGATGATCAATATTGTGAACAACTTTCGCAGGGTCACTTTCGCATGTCGAGATGTTCATAATATGTGCGTGTGCAGGCGCTCACAGGCTGTTTCACAGGCACACGCAAAGCTTGAAGGTAAACAAACAACGGCTTATCATAAGCATCTCATCGATGATTATTTACACAGTTTGCATTAAGAAGAACATATAAACGTGATCTGACTAACTTCTAGCAGCTAAATGTGTCTGGAAAAATATTCAAAGGCTTTTATCCTCACAAACCGCGCGGACGTAAATGCGTCTGAATGTTGTGATTGGCTAAAGCAGACGTCTCACGTCAGCACGTTCTAGACGTGCACGCGCTTATTACGGTAATCTTCCTTCTGCATTCACACAGCGCAGCATTCTGGCAAATTGCCGGTAATGTTACAACTTCTCTTTCCGGAAAATAGCCAGAACGAATTTACCGGTATTTTCAAAAAGGACACGTTCACACATACAACCTTTCCGGAAAATTGCCGGCAATTTTCCGGAAAGGTCTGTATGTGTGAAAGGGGCTATTGTCAAAACGGACTATATCCAATATTCAGATTTTTGTGCAAGTTAGAAAACACAAATAATGCAAATGTAGGCCACATATATTTAAATAAAGCCTTGTTTGTTTATATAAATACAACAAGTTTGTGTAACCGTTGGTTAAAGTTTAAACTCTTTTTTTCTAAAATAACAAGTACATAACTTCTTAAGTTTCAACAAAACAGAATGTCCTTTTCAATATTCAGACACAATAAGACAATTTCAGCCAATAGCATGAGTTTGAACCTTGGATGTCTATTTTTACTGACTGAAGACAGGGCGAGTGTTTGGAAAACCTGTTTGACCACGATTAAGATTATTGCATTTCTGTATGCATTTATGAGAGAATTTTCATTTTTTTGGGGTGAACAATCCCTTTAAACTGCACACTTCACCTTTAAACGTGACAGAAAATTAGTTTTCAAATAATCACATTTTTTGAGTTCACGTTTGAAAATGATAAATGACAGAGTTTGTTACTATACAATCACATTTAAACATGTAATGAAAAAAGGGCCTGTGATATGTTGACAGTTAAGGGTTAATAGACAAGGACCGTACATTGAAGAAGTTCAGCTGGAATTTACCTGTCAGTGGGCTGCGTGGTTTGGCCCCGAGGTACGCCAGGTTGACATTAGCTTTGCGTCCATCAATAATAGGGTTGGGATCTTTACAAGCTCTTTCCGCTGCACTTTTATCCATCATAGTGACCTGGAGAGGAAGGAGAGGATTTAAATACAGACACAAGTATGAGTCTATGAATGAGCAGGACTTTAGGCATACTATTTATCCCAATTTTGGCTGTGTCATTAGGAAACACCTCAATTATACATGAAATCACTAATGTTCTATACGATTTTAAATTGATTGGAAAAACAATAACAGTAATACAGTACATTTATTTCATATATTATTATAAGAATGTATTATAAATTATGAACGAATTGTATACTATATGTAAAGGATAATGAAAATCCAGATGGTTGTTAATTGCAGAATAAATACTTATCAGCAGCCCAACGAGAGGCTCAGCACTGTTGTATAAAACCGAAGGGCTTTATTCAGTGAAAAGAACTGGCTAGATGTATTATTATCCTGCTTATAACATGGCTACTTGCCACTAATTAGACACAAACCATTGATGTGAGCCGTTATAATTCATTAGCTGTTTAATTAATCATAAAGCTTACAGAAAATTTGTTCTTAAATGACTGGATGCAGCCTTCAAAAATAATATTATTTTTATTCAGTCACAAGACGGTGTCAAAAAGCCAAGAACAGCAGAGTGACAGAAAATTTGTTTCATGTCAGGCTTTATTCTGTGATAACAACAGCCTGGATGTATGTTATCCATTACATAACATATCCTGCAATATCGTGATCAATGAGAATCAAGTATTCCAGAGAGTTGTGTAAAAAGTTAGGGATAAAGTACATCCAGTAGGTTGTTACCACAAAAGCCAAACAGACTTATCGGGAGCCTGACAAAGTGGAGCACTGCTGTATAAGACTAAAGAGCTTTATTTAAAACAACCATCCTGGATGTACTTTATGCCACTTATTACATGGATACTCGTCACAAAACATACAAATTAGACCAAACATTGCTCTGAGACATGACACGTGTATTTATTTTTTTTAAATTAAAAGCTGACAGAAATGAAAACAGCTGATGGAGTATACACTAACCTGTGCATTATTCATTCAGAAAATACCACCAAACAGACAAAAATGAGACAAAAACGCAAAGCAGAAACAAAACTAGCTGAATAAAGCTGACCTAGAGCTGAAGATCTTTACCCGGGTTCAGGTGGGTTCAAACTAAATTCTATAATTTTAGACAGGTTTTATAACCTTGACTTTTCCAAACCGTGGTATAACTTGAAAACGGTTATCCCATGCCTAGTGACAGATAAGCAGATACATATGAATGTGGATGCAGGTATATGGATTTGAACGCATTCACTGAAGGTCAAGGTGATTCAAAGTTCCCGGATGAGCCCGTGTTATTTAGCGTTTGTCATCTCAGGATAACATTCTTTGGAACGTTGCGACTGACCAATCAGAATTAATTCAAACTAGGCATGGGCCGGTATAAGATTGTGACGGTATGATAACCTTGGAAAAAAAAAATAAAAATGATGGTTTGACGTTATTGTGATTACTGCTCTAATATACATTCTTTTTAAATATCTGGGTAAAAAACAAAACCTTTTCCTCCTTTGAACACAATATATTTTATTTTGAGAAACATTTAAAGTATTTTGGAGCAGTAAACATGTCGGGCTATATAATTCAAATAAATCATTGACTCCTGCTGTCTTCATTAGTTTCAAAACGCACACAAATGCTTCACAATATATATAAAAAAAAAACATCTGTGGATATCTTTTCTGCTGGAGATACTGTTGTCCTAAAAAACTTAATGTAAAAAACTAAAAATCTTACACACATCTTAGAAAATAATGGCAGCCTAATTCAGACAGCCGTGAAGTAAGTAGCAATAAACTTTGACAAATTTTACAATAACATACACAGCACAGTTTATCTTATCATCAGATCAGTGAGCACACTGTTTACACTTCCCAAAAATAAGCTTTTTTTAAAAGCCTTTTGCTGAAAAGTCTTAAAAACAAGCGTGGCATTAATACCACAGCAGTTTGCCTGTGAGGCGGTTAAGTAGCCTCAACTGCTGACTTGTTTTCACAGCTCGGGCCTCAGTAACAAATACTCTTCCAGCAGTCTGCAATATTAGGTTTGAGCCGCTCATATCTGCCTGCTCATGACTCTACAGACACACATAAACACACACACACACATAGAAACGTGCCGCACCCAGTGGAGACCCAGCGGCAGCTGTGTTCCCCAGGGCTGGTGGAACTAGAAATACAGCCAGAGCAGTAGTGGAGCGGTTAGGAAGAGCATTCAGGGGATCTGGTTTCTGTCAGGTAAACACCAGACCAGAGTGTATGCTTCGTTTCTGTAGTGCCCTTGAGTAGGAAGTCTCTCAAATGAACGTCAGAAAAACAACCGCACACACATATAGTGCTGTGACTATACATGTGCTGATAATCAGTAATGCAACAAATTCTGGGATACTATGAAGCTGTTGAATGCTTGGCTGATGAGCATTCCAAGACATGCAGTTATTTTCAGATAAACACTCAGCCAAAGTAGTTCCAGGAAGGTTTTTTTTTTACCACATTATTTCCATGTCATTACATCCAATGATTTCATAATTTCTACCAACAACAGACCAAAATCACAAAGGCGGTGGCTTTGGATGAGCTGCGCAATAAACTAGCCCTACACACAGGAGCTGTATGAGAACAAAAACTTGACAAATGTCTTGACATACAACATCTGAGTAATGTCGTTTGTGAGGTAAACATAAAACAAGAGGAATAATTGACTCAGAACTAGGGATGCACCGATATGGATGTTAGGGCCGATATCGATAACCGATAACTCTGTTTGGAGGGCGATAACCGATATATAGGTCAATAAATATAATTTAATTCAATTCACCTTTATTTGTATAGTGCTTTTAAAATGTAGATTGTGTCAAAGCAGCTTCACATAGAAGATCATAGTAAATTGAAAGAGTGTAGTTCAGTTTTCAGTGTTTAAGTTTCAGTTTAGCTCAGTTCAGTGTGGTTAATGTAAACAGTCAAAATGTTATACTTTTATACAGTGAACAACTGATTTTATTTTTAAAATATCATAAAAAGTTTGAACTGATCTAATAAACTGAATAGCATACTTTAAAGCAAAAAAGCACTAATTTAAAATTTGCAAGGTGAATATATAGACCTAAATTCACAACTTTACACAAATCAGCATATCAAAAATAAATTATTTCCATTTCTTCGTACAAAAAATTAACATGCAACTTGACTGTTGCATAAAAATAATAGGTTAAATAACAAAATGGGATTTAAAAAATAAAAATAATCAATAAAGGTTTATGATAAACCACTGTTGGAATCTTGATAGACATCCCGTGCGCTCGTTATAATCAATTTGAATATGCCGATACACCAATAATAACATATAACCATATTAGATTACAAACCCAATGCGTTGTTTAGCACATGTGCATCAATGCTATTATGTTTACTAGGGGTGTCACGATTTCGATTTTTAATCTAAATCGATCGAAATTTATGCTCAATTTCGATTATCAAATCAAAAAAAAGAATCGTCGATGCTGCCACGCCCCCATGTCACATCAGCTTGGCTTGCCAAGCGGGAAAAAAAACAGGCTTGTTGAAGTGCTTGTTAAATGGCAGACGCAGGAGACCCGTCGACAGAACTTAAACCCTCTCCTCTTTCAATGAAGTCGTCGGTGTGTAAGCATTTTGGATTTCCAGTGAGTTATGTTGACAACGTTTGTGTTGTCGACAAAAAAAAAAAAACACAGTTTTGCAAGCTCTGCTATGTACGTATTACGTACGGTTTGTCCGATAGACAACACCGGCATTGCGATCCTCCGCCAGCCCCCGTTGCAAATCCGCTCGCGAAAAATACACACTCAGGCCCTGTTTACACTGTCTTTGTTTTTAAATGGCATTTTAGAACGACAACGATTTGACATCCACAGTGGCGTGTAGCATTTCTGAGCAGCCCTCCTTCCTCTCTACCTCTGAAAATGCACATCACGTGACCACACAGACGCACTCACAGCCATGCGCTCGAGACAGCAGGTCCAGGCAGTCAGAAGACTGCTTTAATCTTTCACTCACTTGTACTTTGTCATTTTAGCGAACACCTCAGATACTGTTGGCTGGTTTCTGTTGGTTGTGCCTCTTTTTTACCGACGCCATTATAACGACACAGATCACTGCCTATTCACAAGTCCCGCAGAAAAAAGTGATTGACAGGTGGTAATTATGTGTGTATCTTGCCTTTATTCATTTACTGTATGATTTGTTTATGGGTAAAACAAAGACCATGCAGGTCAGGTAGTTTAAACGGTAGGCTACAAATAATTAATTGGTAATTAATTAATTAATTATTCATAATCGAAAATCGAATCGTGACTTTAGAATCGAAAATGTAATCGAATCGAGGATTTGGAGGATCGTGACACACTTAATGTTTACGTGTTTAATATTTTTTCCTGAGGCGATTTAAACCAAAATACACAATGACACTATCAAACATATCTACAATAGCTATGTTTCCATTCAAAAATGCGAATAAACTTTATGCGCAAAACTGGATTATCGCATAAAAGACATGCGAATGAAGCAGCGTTTCCATCCAACGAGTCAAAGCGAACAATATCATCACTTCCCGATTAACTGGCGCCAAATATCAACAGTAAAACTGAATTTGTTGCAGTTGGAGAAGCTGCGTCAATCTTTTCTTCATCTAATAAATGACTTGCGCCTCAGAAGGCAATGCTGATATGCAGGGAACGCGCGGTGGCGTTTGAAGGTGTCAGAGGCAGAGCACAGACGCTCTTGATTCTGGAGGTCAATAATAATATAATAACACTAATACTGAAATGAAAAGGCGTTTTAGAATGACCAAAACAACATTTCAGATGGTTTACTATGTGCTCGGCCTGCTGGTTTGTCTATTTACACACATTTTTACCATCACATGATCTCTTATAAGAAAATCATGACATTTTTTTTAATACGCATGCTGGAATTTATGCGGTAGAAGTGTTTCCACTGTAGTTTATGCGCATCTTTTCTTAT